GAGGTGGAAAAGTCAAAGCCTGAAAAGGTGGGCTGTTGCTTTGGCTGTTGAAATAGTAACACAAATGTAAGATACTGTATAACAAATTCCATAGCATGATCTGAATGAAAACTAGAATTACAACACAACAGAAAACAAATGGAAATAAAGTCAGACTAACTGTAGGCCTTCTTGCTGCATGAAAATAAGCATCTGTATATCAGACACTCACACTGATGAGCAACCACTGAGCTGCACTAAAGTCTGATATTGTCCAGTAACCACAAAGCAGCAGAAATCATTTTCATCATCAGACGTTCTTAAAGTATATCACTGTCTTATTTTACATTTATATTATTTGCAGAAATTAAGATGATAATTTTCATGTTTCCTGTTTTATCTGACTGTCTTTCACTTGATGAATTAGGCCAGCAGTGAAGTGTGGGCCACCATCCTGGCTCTGATCTGGCTTCATGGTTTCAAGATGGATGCAAAGGACGAGTGGGAGCTTCTGGCTGTGAAGGCTGCCTCATGGCTCCAAGCTCATAAAGGTAGTAATCATCACAATGAAAATAAAATGATATAGTCCCCCATATCAATTTCTATAATCATTGTGTGTTTTGTGTTTTTAGCACCGTTTGTGTCAGAGTGTGTGGATGCTGGAAATGTCCTGCTGGGTTGCAGCGTGAAGAAAGAAGCTCTGGGACTCTGAGGGTTTTCTTAAAGTGACCTCACCTTCAGCACTGTTAAGCAGAATGATACTGACTTACACTATACTGTGTTGCTTTCTTTAGTCTGACCCTTTGTTATAAAATCATTATTTTCCTTGAATCCAAATTGGTATTTAACATTGGATTAAACACTGAAACACGTGTCTGCAGAGTTATCTGTTTTCATGTGTCTGTTCATTAAAAACAACAATGGTAAAACCATCATAAACCTCCGCTGACTTGTTTATTTCCCACATAAACATTTCACATTAAAGACGAGTAGAATTTGGTGTCATCAACATAACAGAGAAAATTGATATTAAATGTGTAGGAGAGATGACCAATTGGAAGAAGCCAGATAAGAAATGGTAGAGGTCCCTGAGGACACGAGTAGGAAGTGGAAATGGCTGGAATTTGAAATTTTTGAGTTGAATTAACTGAGTGCAGCTGAAGAGAGGATGATCTAGTTCAGGTGTGTGTCAGTAATATCAATTAAGGTTTATTATACCTGCATCATTTATATTGTTAAAGCTCTAACTTTGATAACAGAGTTAATGGCATATTTGAACTCTGATGCAAGTTTTCACATTTGATTTTGATTTTAATCCTCTGTAGACC